TGACAAAGGCACGTTCATGTGAGCGCGCTCAGATTGATTTGTGTTGTACTGAACTACGGTTGATTTGCACTCTGAACAGGGAATGGGCAAATTCAAACATTTTATTTGCAGAAATATAAAAAATTACTGGAATTATATAGAATGTGCACTTACAACACAAATAAATATAAAACAAATATTTTAATAATACCTATGTTTATATACATATATATGTATATATACATATGTATAAACATAGGTATTATTAAAATATTTGTTTTATATTTATTTGTGTTGAGTTTTATATATATATATACATATATATATATATATATAAATATATAAAACTCTGTTGTTGTTTTTTCACTAATGTGTGCTTTCTTTTCTTTTTAGGGTCTAATTCATCTTCCTTGTTCATAAAAGTAAGTTGTTGTCTGAATGTCACTCTCTCTCATAAAAACTTGGTAAAAATAATTGGTTTGATAGGAAGCCTCAAGTGAATTCATTGACATTCTTTACATGTTTGTGTTTTAACTCTTAGTTGTGTAAAATAAGTTGTGTCAAAGTGCATTCATCAATTTTTCAATGCTAAATACCTAAAGAGGCTGGTGATTATTAGTGAGTTGCAGTAAACGAGAATTGCAAAAACACACATTCAGTCACACTTCTAGATAACTTTGTTTGGTATAAAGAAAGTAAAGACATACAGTCTCAAAATGATGACTTTTCATAGTATTATATTTTTGTTTTATTGGTATTTGACTTTATTATTTATTTCGTGTGACAGTTTACTGTGGCAACCCCTGAAGAAAGGAGCAGCCGAAAGAAAAAAAAAAAAAAAAAAAAAATATATATATATATATATATATATATATTACTTCACGTACATTTTTGTTTCTTTAAGACAACAGTGTATGTAATATAATGAAATGTAATTGAAACAGCTAGGCTTTATTTGATTGTTTACACCCAAATTACGAGATAAACAATAAGACATACATATTCATTCAGACCTCTTACTTTAGTCATATGCACTCAAGATTTGAACATTTTTTCTACACGGCCTGGCCCAAAAAAAGTCGTCACCTGAATTTAACTAAGCAAATAGGTACCATCTCCTATTGATAATTACTGAATGTGGGATGATCTTTCAGCTGCAACAACTTACTTAACTCCAACTGGTGCAATGAGTTGCTTCTCATTTCTTAAACTACCATGTTGAAAGACACATCGCGCGGTCGTGGAAAAGATGTCAGTCTGTTTGAGAAGGGTCAAATCATTGGCATCAAGCAGAGAAAACATCTAAGGAGATCGTAGAAGCTACTAAAACTGGGTTAAGAACTGTCCAACACATTATTAAAAGCTGGAAGGATAGTGAGGACCCATCGTCTTTGAGGAAGAAATGTGGCCGGAAAAAAATCCTGAATGATCGTGATCGGCGATCACTTAAACGTTTGGTGAAATCAAATCAAAGAAAGACAACAGTAGCACTCAGGGCTGCGTTTAATATTGAAAGGAAGAGCATTTCCATACACACAATGTGAAGGGAAATCAAGGGGTTGGGACTGAACTGCTATTCAGTGAGGCTAACCAGAAAAAAAAGGCTTCAATTTGCTAGGGAGCATAAAGATTGGACTCTGGAGCAATGGAAGAAGGTCATGTGGTCTGAGGAGTCCAGATTTACCCTGTTCCAGAGTGATGGATGCATCAGGGTAAGAAGAGAGGCAGGTGAAGTGATGCACCCATTATGCCTAGTGCCTAGTCATCAATACAAGATCTTTGTGAAAAATTAATGCAACACTGGATGGAAATAGATCTTGTGATGTTGCAGAAGCTTATTGAAACAACGCCACAGTGAATACATGCCGTAATCAAAGCTAAAGGCGGTCCAACGAAATATTAGTGTGTGTGACCTTTTTTTTTTTGGCCAGGCAGTGGATTTTTCCTGAAACTACAAATTAATAAAACAGTGATTTATGTAAATCACACTTATAAAGGACATTAAATCTAAAGCATCAATAAACACATCGTTGCCAAACAAATATCTGTCATGCATCAAAACTGCATTTACCATTTTACAATGCTAAATAATCACAAATGCTGATGATTATTTGTACGTACCAATAAGGAAGAATCCCCATAATACACCTTCAGTCACATTTCTTTATAACAACAAAATAATCTGCTTTTTTACATGAAGCATGCAAGTGATGAATTTGATGGTGGTGTCACCAGACAGAATCCGTCAGAGGAATTCCATCTCCTTTATAAACCGGTGAGTTTTCCTTTTTTTCTTCTTTTAATTTTATTTTTATCAGTGGAAAAGGTAGTTACAATGACATTGCAATATAACACATTACTTCACAACCCTTCCCAATTTTCATTTTTGAACATAAATAACAAAACTACAGAGAAAAAGAAAAAAAAAACAATAATAAACAAAAAAAGGAATCCAAAGATTCCTTACATAGAAACTCAAACACCCATATCATGTATTACATATAGAAATTCACACCTTTAAGAGAGGAACTGTAAATATAGAAATAAATAAAAGAAAACTCCACTCCAGATTAACTAAATTTAAGTGGTTTACCTGACAAAATTAATGAAAAGCTTGTGAGAGATGGGCGATATTTATGATCCATTTACTCCAAATTTTGTAAAAAAATATATATATTTATATATATTTATAATTTCATAGTATTTTTGCTTCAGAAAAACTTTTTTTTTTAATCTCCTGTGTGAAGATTTCATCAATTTCACCCTGTATTTTCTTAATTTCCTTCCTAACAGATAAGTTTACCATAGATATATCTGCCTTTTGTAATTGTTTCAATTTTCCCTGTAGATATGCTAATTTTTGCCCCTTTCATTTTTTAATAGAGAAGTCATTACCCCTAATCACCACTTTTAGAGTATCCCACAGGATTGGCTGCAACACATCCCCTGTGTCATTAATTTCCATGTAATCTTTAATCTCTACTATAATTTTCCCCTTTAGTTTGGGATCATTCAGAATATTGGAGTTCAATTTCCACAATAAATTGTTAGCCTTCCTTTCTAACAAGATATTGAATGCAACTGGGCTGTGGTCTGATAAATCTATTGTTTTTATCTTACTATCTTTTATTCTGAATTTATCCACACCAAGCATAAAAAATAATCTGTTCTCGAATAGGTAGAGTGGGGGGTGGGAAAATGAGTGAATTCTCTACTTCCTGGGGGCAGTTCTCTCCACACATCCACCACTCCTAACTTGTGCATCATTGCCTTTACTTTTTTAATAATGCATTTTCCTGAATATTCTGTGCTGTAGAATCAACTTTGGGGTTCAATCTAATGTCTTTCTTTGCCGTGCCAATCTTAGCACCTCTTCCTTCATTCTGTAGCTCTGGAATCTAACCAGAATGGATCTGGGTTGAGACCTCAACGGGGTTTGCGGTGCGAGAGCTCGATGAGCTCTTTCAATTAGCATATCCCTTGAGTCGGGGATGCCAAGTTTCCCTCTAAGCAACTTCTCTACGAAGGATATCATTGCCCTTGGCTCCCCTTCAGCTCCTTCAGGGACTTCATATATATTCTCACATGTTCTCTCCTGGAGCCGCTTTCCTGGTCCGTCAATCTTTCTTGAAGCTTTTCTTGAATCGTTAGCAATCCCGCTAACACCTCATCCATGCATTCCAGCTTCTCTTCTGCATCGATAATTCGCACCTCCACCTCATCCAGTCTCGTGTTTATTCTTGCAATCTCGCCTCGTATCGATTCAAGTTTTTGACTATTATCTTATCGAAATTCTCTTATCTCTTTAAGTACAAAAGCCAGGCTCACCGCTTTTTCTCCTCCTTCCTCCATCTCTTCGGCCAGACCGGCAGCAGCCTGTGCGATAGCAGCGGGGCTAGCAGTAGCATGGCTAGCAACCTCGACCTCGTATCGCCTTACTCCTTTATCCTTAGTCGTAGCAGTTAGACTTTTTGCCTTTTTTGTTTCGAAGCCATCTCTTCCCCTTGCTCTCCACTTGAACATTTCACCCTTTTAATTGACTTACACAAAGATTTCTTTCTCTTTGATGGGGAGATTCCACGCTCCACTGTCATCCCTTAGCATCACCGGAAGTCCATTCAACTGGTGAGTTTTCATCAGTGTTTTTGTGTTTGTTTTCACCAGGAGATAAACATTAAGTGGCAGCACGGTGGTGCAACTGGCAGAGCTGCTGCCTCTCAGCGAGCAGGTCCTTGGTTCAAACCCCGGTCCAGGGGTCTTTCTGGGTGGAGTTTGCATGTTCTCTCCGTGCATGCGTGGGTTTTCTCCGGGTGCTCCGGTTTCCTTCCACAGACCAAAAGCATGCATGTTAGGCTGATTGGTAACTCTAAATTGTCCTTAGATGCGAGTGAGAGAGTGAATGGTTGTTTGTCTCTATGTGTCCCTGTGATGGACTTGCGACCCGTCCAGGGTGTACCCTGCCCCTCGCACAGTGATTGCTGGACATGGGCACCAGCGACCCCCGTGACCCAAAATGGAATAAGCGGGTAAAGATAATGGATGGATGGATGGATAAACAATAAGTCATACATATTCATTCAGGCAGCTTATAGTTACATACAGTATATTTAAGACATAAGATGTTTTTGTTTTTTTTACAATAAAATTTCACAATGTTAAACCAGTGACATTCCAGTCAATAGTAAAGACTGCAAATTGTTCTCCTTTTTCATGTTTCGTCAGATAAACTCTAGTGATGGGACGTCAACCAATAACTTTAACACAACACAAACGACTCCAAATAACACGGGTCAACAGGTATGAAAATATTTCCTCTAATGACTGGTAGGAAATTTGTGTAACTGGTTCAGAAAAAAAAACAAACTGCTGCTTTAAATCTTTTTTTTTTTTTTTTAGCTTAGTGTCATACTTGATAATAGTACCATATGTGTATTGTGACTTTTGTTTCTAAACTGTTTAATTAAAGAGTCAAAGTTTTAGTTTCTGTCGGAGCAACGTAATGACAAATCACTTTACTGTTCTTTCAGACGGGCTTCTTTCCTTGGATAAAAGAAGACCTGAATAAGAAAGCTTGTTGGAAATGTAAAGTATGGATGTTTATCCCCTTAATTTGTGCCATCATCGTTGCTGTGATCATCATCTCTATGGCTGTGAACTCAGGTACACTGTGTGGATTATTTTTTAGAAGTAGGGCTAAATTATGCCAAAGTCGTGATCTGTAAAATACTATTTCAAATGCTTCATGCATGAAAGCACAGTTCTTAAAAAAGCAACTAAATTACAAGTTATATTCAAGATCACAACCACAACACTTTGTGTAATTTGCTTGTTGTGTGTTGGAATCTAAGGTTTGCCGAGTGTTTCAGTTTACAAGCTCCGACCGTTTTTCTTCCAACAGCCCTCCATGAAGATGAAGATGAGAAGTTCGACCGTTCACAGTTCAACGTTCTACAATATTTTGATGGTAGATTCCAGTTGTCTTCCAAACCTGTCTCTAATCAAACTGAAATGCTTGAAGAGCTTGAAGACAAGGTTTGAGCAACTCTTATCTGTACTTAAAATATTAGACCATTATTATTCCATAATAATGTGTATCTACACATTATTACATATGGATAAAATATTTATTTGTTTACTGTTTACTGCTTGTTTATAGGTTCTCAATGTTAGAATCAGAATGAGTTCAAGGTGCTTATCGTAAACTATAAAATACATCAAAAGGTTATCATGTGTGCATTCATATGTGAGCAGAGCGAACAGGAGGGGGCTCAACACACAGCCCTGAGGGGAGCCAGTATATATTCAAGGATTCAAGGTTCTTTATTTGTCATACGCACCACATGTGGTAAATGTGGTGGAACAAAATTGTGTACACAAGGTCCCAGTTACATCCAACAAAAGTATAAAATGTAAAAGAAAAATAGTAATAAGATCTAAGATATGACCTAAGAAAAAGGTTAAACTAAATACGCTAAGCACTAGTAGTACAAAAACAATATGCCAAATAGCAGCACGAACATGAGTCTGTGTGAGCAGAGGAGAACGAATAAACACAGCAGCATGAAACAGATCAGCAGCATGATGTGATTTTTTTTTCACAGTGATCATCCTGGTTAGGTTAAAAAAAGTTCAAGACTAAAACAACTGGACTTTATTTGTAACAGTTGTTTTTGTCTTTAACTTTTTTGAATTAAACATGTCCTGGATGGATGAGAATCTTCACCAGCATACCCTGGTTAGAGATTCATGAGTCTAACAGCCTCAGGGTAGAAGCTGTTCCTCAGCCTGGTGGTTCTGCACTTAATGCACCTTAACCTCCTGCCTGAGGGGAGTGGGGCAAAAAGTGTGTGTGCTGGGTGAGTGGGGTCCTTCATGATGCAGGTGGCCCTCTTCCTGCATTTGGAGGTGTAAATGTCCGTGATGGTGGGGAGACTGACTCCAACAGTCTTCTGTGCAGCCTTCACCACTCTCTGCAAAGCATTTCTTTCTGCAGACGTGCAGCCTCCATGCCACACGTTGATGCTCGAGCACAGGATGCTCTCCACTGCACACCTGTAGAAGGAGATGAGGACTGAGCTTCCCAGGCCAGCTCGTCTCAGCCGTCTGAGGAAGTAGAGTCACTGATGAGCTTTCTTGATCAGGCTGGTGGTGTTGTTGCTCCAGCTGAGGTTGTCATTCATGTGTACACCCAAGTACTTGTAGCTGGAGACCACTTCCACTGCAGATCCTCCTATGTTCGGGGGGTTGTGGGGGTAGGTGTGTTTTTTCTGTCTGAAGTCCACGACCATCTCCTCCGTCTTCTTCACATTGATGTGAAGGATGTTCTTCCGGCACCAGCTCTCTAGGTGTTCCACCTCCTGCCTGTAGCTGGACTCTTCGTTGTTTGTGATGCATCCCACCACCACCGCTGTATCGTCTGCAAACTTTACAATATGACAGCCTGGATGGGTCGGTGCACAGTCGTACGTGAGCAGAGTGAACAGGAGAGGGCTCAGCACTCAGCCCTGAGGGGAGCCAGTGCTGAGGGTTATGGTGGAGGAGAAGTGGATCCTCACAGACTGGTGTGTTTGTTAAGAAGTCTAGGATCCAGTTGCAAATGGAGGGGTTTAGTCCAAGTGTGAGTAGTTTGTCCATCAGGGTCTGGGGAATCATGGTACCGAAGGCAGACGTGAAGTCCACAAAGATCATACGGACGTAGGAGTCCTTCTGCTCCAGGTGGGTGAGAGCAGTGTGGATCACAGAGGAGGTGGCATCCTCTGTTGATCGATTTTTGCGGTATGCATACTGGTGAGGGTCCTCGCTGATGTTGATGGTTGTTCTGAAGTGGGTCATGACCAGTCTTTCATTGGTCATATTTATGCAGAAACATAGACAATTTTAAAGGGTTCACAAACTTTCAAGCACTACCTGTGATATGCATTTGCTACAAATACAAAAAGTTAAAGAAAGCATCTTAATATTTAAGAAACTTCCATATTACTTTTTTCCATTTTGTCACGTAACTGATGTATGTTTTTTTACTTGGAGCGGCCAAAGTGAGACAGAAAATAATGACAAAGGGGAACGTTTAAAAAAGGCTAACTCCCTGGTCTTTGTTTAGACAAGTCCTGACCCTTCATCTCTCTCTGAAAGTGACATTGTCTGTGTTCGCCTTTGTAGCAGTGCTCTGTTTACATGCAGGCATTCCTCTTCATTGTCCCTTCCAGTTACTGTGCATGCAAATATCTCAACTGATAATCTCAGCAGCCCCAGTTTTCTTAGCAATACTGTATATTACTATCTTTCTAATAATGCATTTGTATTTACAAAATATGATATCACAGGCACTTTCAAGGCTGACTGCAAGTAAAACTGTGGAAAGACAGCCGCTGATTCTGTTCTACCAGGGAGTGTATTGAAAACCTTAAGCAACAAAATTAAATTTCAAGTGAAGCGAATTGTTGGCTCTGTGTTCTCCGTAACAAATGGTATGCTTTCTGTTTTTCCTCTGCATGTTTCAACCTGCTCCACCCAGCTGGCTGACCTCTACAGGTCCTCCCCAGCTCTGGGAAGATACTTCTCACAAGCTGAGACTCACCCTCTCAGGTAAACACACAACCCACTCGCGCCACGGCTTCTCCATCTGTAACTCAACAACTCCTTCGCTGTCACCACAGGAATGAGACTTCAGTCTTTCTGTACACGCTGATCTTCGTCCTGCCATCGGAGCAGCAGGAGGAGCTGAGAAACTTTACTCTGAGCAAGGAGATGGTGCGGAGCGTGCTCAGACAGTTCCTTTACGACCAGGATCCAAGTGACTCGGGGAGCGTGTTTATTGACCCAGTTTCCCTGAAATTGTTCTAAGTGCACTGATGACAGGTGCTGAGAAACAAACTGGAAAATTCAGTCTAGCTTCTAGTTTCCACTGGGAAACCCTAAACCTCGTGGAGGCGCGTTGACTTGTCTCACGGGTCACTTCACATGGAACTCGCCACAGAAAGCTGTTTTTGACGACACACTGACCATATGAATGATCTCACATGAGTAAAGGAGGATATGTGGTTTCTGTTTAGGAGCGCCTCAAGTAGAACGATAAAACAGTGTATATATTTTTATATTAATAGTTTATTTTTTCCAGTTTTGTTCCATTTGAAGTGTTTTCTTCTGTTTTCACTGTGATTTTATGCATACAAAATGCTGTGATGAGCCACTTTTGATAGAAAGGCGCATGATTTTCACATTTACATTCCTGTGCAGTCATCTCACATGACCTGACCTAACTTGCAAACTGTAACCGCAAACATTTGCCTAGATTAAACAAACGCTGTTGGACAATCAGCTTCAGAGGCCATTTAAGAAGATATTGTCCCTGTTTTTACCAAGTGATGGCTGCAAATGTCTAGATAACGATTATGAAGCTTTCTTTGCACAGCTTTATGGGGTTGTTTTCAGGCATTTATGTCACTAGTTGGTTTTTCTTTCTCTTATTAACCAGTTCTGGTTTTGTTTTCTTCCCGTCTAACCAGCAGAGGGTGTGCTTATCCCTCATGCGCAATCTTGTTCTTCCTGCTTTTTCACCCTGTAACAGAGTTTATGTACGTTTTTCTCTCATCTGAAGACAGGTTACTATGGTTCGTTGTAATATTTGCAAATCATTCAATGAAATGTCTCACCACATCAGACCACATGTCTGCCATCTAAGTTGTTTAATGTCTGTAGAAATCTGTTAATTGTTTCCACAAAATAACTTGCATGATAAGTTGAATTAGTCTTATAACTTCAGCTGTTTAAATCAAATATTTTGTATTTTTATGAAGCAGGTGTAAATGATGTAGCATTATATAAAACTATATCCTATCAAACATACTCTTGTGGTCTTATTTTATCCGATTTTCAACATTAGCCATAACCTTGTCTCCTTTTAAAGTTTGTCTCAGGCTGAATATTTTCTGCAGCTGCTTCACAAAGTAAATGCTGAGAATTCCTTGAAGGAATGCATATCGCCCTTGGGCTTTCATGACAGTTTTAACTCACAATGGCTGCTCCAACAACATTTTTTGAGCTGCGTAATGTCGATAGTATGTGCTAAAGATGTCTCAACTCCCATAGAAACTTTCACAGCTTGCAGGTTTGGGGTATTCAGGTTTGCAGTATGCAAAGCCAAAGACAAAAAGGCACTGACACCAATCAAAAAGAAGTAATTGTAGCGTCCCAGATAGTTTTCCATACAAGACATTGTTATCATTCAACAATGTTCAGTCAGATCATCTGGATGTTTCTTTTTTGCTGATTCTTCATCCAAAGGACCTCTTCAATCTGAGGAGCCACCAAAACAAACTGATTCCCACAAACAGCATACTTCATAGTGGAAAAAATAGTGGCCATCTTAGCACCAGCAAACTGTTTTGTTTTTTCCCCCCACTTTGGAGTATGCTGTTTGTGGGAATTGGTTTGTTTGATGGCTCCTCAGATTGAAGAAGTCCTTTGGATGAATGGACAAAACATCTCAGCAAAAAAAAAAGAAGCATCCAGATGACCTGACTGAACATTGTTGGATTTTTACCTGAATTATTGAGAATGAACTTTGGTGATTGTTACCATTCTTCCCAGAAGCAGATCACCCATTAATTTCTCCCAATGCAAAGATCAGACAAATTACAAAACACCCAGGAGCTCCTTCAGAGACCCTACAGGCCTCAGTTACTCAGCTGTTTACGTAAAGGTTTTGTCATTTGTTGGCAGTGGGACAAAATCCACTTTGGCTCTGCTTGTGTACAACTAATAGGATAATAGACATTATCGGTCTGCGCTGGTGGTCCATCTTCTCAACACTATTTTGAGAATTGTCAATCGTCTCAAGCCAGATTTACTATAATGAGCATGCTGAGCTTTGATAGCTCCGTTGCAAACAGGAAGCAAGTCTGAAGACTCCAGTGTGTGCTCCGAGCTTTGAAATGGTTGACAGTGCAGGTTGGACATCTGTAGGATGCTGCTCTGCACCAAATGTTTGATGATTACATTTTACTACAAATGTCATTTGCCTCATTTTACCCATTCTCATTCTTGTTAGTACTCTGTTTGATTTAAACATTGCATTGCTGTCATTGTCATGGTTGCATTAAATACAAATTTAACATAGTTTGTTAAAAAAAAGAGTTAAACATTTGCATTTTGGATTACATTTGTATATCACTGAGCTTGTTTGTGTAAACTGTCACTGAGAAAAAAAAATACAGCTAAATATTTAGAATCAGAATAAGTTTTATTATCATTGTACCGGGATACAGTGAGATTATGTTCGTACAGTCTTCCGAAAGATGGGCGGAGTGCACGTTGCTGCTGCTACAAGAGCACGGCCTCTTATTCTTTATCAGAATACTTTTTAGATAGACAAAGGTAAAAGGCCATGAGGATGGATGGTGGGATTACAAAAAATATCTCTTCACATCTTGTCCTATCAGGATTTGAGATATCAAAAAACTTTACCAGCAAGCACATTTATAAACACATTACATATGCATTTGACGTCAAGACGTTGAGATTTGTTCATGAAGCACTTTCAGATAGGCCACAGTCCTTATGATGTTATTGTTCTGATAAGCCTGTACAGTTCTCGGGGGGGTTGCAATAGACAAAGCTTTTTCATCAGTTTACACATGTCCCAGGAGAAATTTGATAGTCGGCCCATATCCGAGGCCAAACGGGAGAGTCAGGATCAGAAAAGCAAGAATTGTTGGTTTTCTTCGGGCAGACTGTTTTTCCTTGCCAGCCTTGAGTCCTGCTGGTACTTTCCAGATCCAAAATGGCCATATTTATGGGCATTCCACTCCACTGATCCGTGCTATAAGCCTTCTTCAAGGTCGACTCCAACATGCTGGCGAGTCCTAAAAGCTGCAGGTGGCCTGCAATTCTCACAAATTGCTTCCATCTTATGGTTTAGCTCGTAAATCAGCTGATTTTGAGTACTCGTAGCACGAACCAAACCTTCACACAGACTGGGAAGTTTTGCCATGGCCAAAACTGCTGCCGGCGTCTTCTTCAAAAGTTGATAACATAGGGACCCGTCGATGCAAAAAGCAGAAACCTTGCTATCTTGAATCCAATTATATAAACGTCTTTGGCGTCCTCCTGAGACAGAACTGAAAGACACATGAGCTGTCAAACTCCCCACAGATCCCTGATGTACCCCGCAGCATGAGCCTCGGCAGGACATGAGGGCTCTCCAGGACCCTGCCATTTTGTTGAAAGTATATTAAATATTAATTAATAGTTAAATGCTGTAAGAAAGCACACACAAAGAACCCAATAAACCCCTAGATAAATAAAACTTTTAAAGTTTAATATGGTATTTTGGAGCGGTAACCTCTCATTAAACATCAAAACTAATTTAACCAGGCAGTCATTCGGGCTGGCAAATTCACTTACTCAAACAACCTCTCACTCCAACACTTATATAATCGATCTAAGTCCAGGGAAGCTGCTCAGATTTGTAATTATTTATCCCTCTTCACAACTTTTCATTGGCTGCCAACCGGTAGAAAACTTCAAGCTCCATTATTAACATTTCAAAACTGTTGTAAGACATCTAACAAGGTTAACTCAGGTCCTCTGGACGGATTCTTCCGTCCAGAGGACCTGAGTTAATCTCATTAGATTCATCTACCTGGATTATTGAGCATGCTTCAGTATATGTTGTTGGAAATCTTCACTCCTCTTGCTGTTACCATCTTGAGCAAGAAAATGTTGAAATAATCTGTTTAATCAAGACTATTCTGAGAAATGCAGTAATTTTGTAGGCAATTATAGATGTAGACCTGCATATGCATATGTTTAATTCATTCATTCAATCTTTATTTAGACAGGTAAATCCCATTGAGCCTCGAGGACTCACTACAAGAGACTGATTTCAACAAAGAATGATGACAACAATGGACAACAGCGACAACAATAAACAGTTATAAAAAGTCATAGTTTTTTTTTTTTTTTTTTTACAAATAAGATGGCTAAAAAAAGAAAAGTAACAAAAAACAGCTAGATTCTAAGGCAAATGTAGAAAACTAAAAACAGGAACATGTCTGCATTGGTTTCTGTCAGGAGTCCAACAGATTCTTAAAGCCACTTAAAGAGATCAAGGTTGAGAGCTTCAGATCTTTTTGTTAGAATTTTAATAAGAAATTAAGTGATAAATATAAGTTTAAAATATTTAAATGACATAAAAACATGTGTAAATGTGTAGGTTTAAGGTGCTGTTTTGTCACTAAATGCCATAGTAGGTGTGAAAACAACAATGGATTCAAATACACTTTGTTGGAACCCTTTGTTCCACGTTTAGCTCCCATCACACCAAATAATGACATCCGTCCCACTTCCCTTTACAATCATAGAACGTCCTGAGTTTCTTGGAAGCATCTGCAGCTATCCCATTAAAGGGTTATCTCTCCTTTAGGCTTAAAGCTTAGGGCGGACTTAATGCTGCGTTTCAGGCAGAAACCAAAGGTGCAGAAGCCACACCATCTCCTCCGACTACAGTTTCTCCTCCACCTAGCTGCAAAGCCAGTTCTCAAAGGAGTCATGGGTTCCCACGGATCAAGTCTGGATGACATCCTGGAGGAGGACATGCACCACTGGTACACAAAGTTCATGAGGGAATCTCCATCGGGAGTCATCACACTGTTTGAGCTGAAGACGATGCTTGAGATAAATGGGATGACAGAGGAGGCCAGCAGTTACGTGGACCAAGTCTTCTTGACCTTCGACATGGATGGGGTAAAAACGAATAAAACCTGATGAACTTCTTTACTTTTCTACCTTATTTAATGTAGCCATAATCATAACTTATGAACCAGATAAAAGGGGAAATTACCTATTTGATGCAAATATTGTTTCAGGAGCAAAAGCAAAAGAAGCTTAAAAAGGAAAACCACATTTTTGCTAAATAATCTTGATATACTGTGAAATTCAAAAGGAATGACCAGACATGTTGAATATTAGACATTTTAAGTAGGAAGAAACCACAGCAGCATGCGGTTTTTTATTTTTATTTTCAGGAAGCACTAAAAATTCAATTCATTAGTATTTTTTTTTTATTACTTAAAATGCTGAATAATCTAATTTAAAATATTTTTGAATTTCAGTTCAATAATGCTGCTGCTGTGTAAGCAATAATAATTATTTATATATTTTTTGTCTTTTTATCCCCCCTCAGGACGGCTATCTGGACTTTGTTGAATACATTGCAGCTATAAGCTTGTTACTAAAAGGAGAAGTGAACCAGAAGCTGAAGTGGTACTTTAAGCTCTTCGATCAGGATGGAAATGGGAAAATTGACAAGGAGGAGCTGGAAACGATATTTAAGGTACAGCGTTGTCTCCGCTGAGGTTTCAGAATCAGAACATTGCAGCTACAGGTTCAGTTCTGTTTATAACAGGTCATGAACTTGACCCAAGATCTAATCTGTGCACATCTTACTTCGCCTGTGTGCTATATATGTACCGGTACAGCCTTTAAACTAACTCACAGGCCAAAGAAGCATGGATTATTGATTACCGTATGTTTTGGCCTATAAGGCGCACCGGATTATAAGGAGCAATATCAATGAATGGGTCTGTTTTCATATGCATCAGATTATAAGGCACATTAAGCGAAACAAAACATATAAGTCAAACTTTATACAACTCATTCACAATAGCCACATAAAATCAGTTCGAGATCTGTAAGCACAACCCGAATTAATACATAAGGTGCACCTGATTATAAGGCTCACTGTCGATTTTGGGGAAAATGAAAGGATTTAAAGTGTGCCTTATAGTCTGAAAAATACAGTATTAAATACACTTTGATTTAAAGTGCGGCAGATTTTGTTTTATAACTCTCCTGCCCTTATTTTCCAATTCTCCTGGCCTTTTTAAAGTTACTACATTACATCAAAAGCAACATACTGCAAGCTTTAAAACTAATTACTGCAAATCTTTTCTTTCAGGCTATTCAAGATATCACCAGGAGTTACGACATCCCTCCAGAACAGATTGTGACTCTTATATATGAGAGAATCGACGTCAAAAGAGAAGGTAATGAATAAATATAAACCAGCCTTGAGTTGAGCAAAAATCATGTGATCAATTTTGGCTTCAAGTCGTATAAAAAAGGAAACAAGTTGTGCTTTCTGTGCGACTCAAAGAAAACCTTACTGTATTTTTCGGACTTTGAGGTGCACTTAAAATCCTTTAATTTTCTCAAAAATTAACAGTGAGCCTTATAATCCGATGCAATTATTTATGAAAACTGACCTGTTCGTTGATATTGCGCCTTATAGTCCAAAAAATACAGTATTTAAAATGTATGAAATTCAATTTTCGTCTTTTTTCTCAGGTGAGCTGACGCTGGAGGAGTTCATCAGTGGGGCGAAGGAGCACCCGGACATCATGGACATGCTCACCAGGATGATGGATCTTACTCATGTCCTTGAAATCATTATCAAAGGCCAAAAGAGGAAATCTTTGAAATGAGTTCAGGAAGGACACACAGGATTGTGGGTAGAGTTGCTTTGGACGAGTTAATCCAAATCGCTGACTGAGCCGTGGAAGGGAGAGAGACAATTTTCTCCCCCTTTTCCCTGCCATCCCAGTGCTTTCTTTGCAGCGTTGTTTAGGTGTGAAGCACTCTAATAGACACTTTTTAAACTGAGATGTAGAAAAGAGAAGACAATTTTCTCCAAGGATGATTCCAAGCTGTGCGATTTGGATGAAAGTCAAGATCGGTTTGTGTCAGCAGGAGCTCACTGAGCTGGAAATGTTGTTTCCAGTCTTGTAGAAGTATCAGGGGTAAAGGGAAGAACAGTTAAATGCTCGAGTTTATATTCATGAATTAAACTCACTTTTAGGTAAACGTACCAAATACATTAATTTAGATTTGTTCTGCTGAAGACGGTCAGCTCTTCTAATGTCTGCCAACATGATTGTGGTACTTGGATGAAACTATGATTGGCACAGAGATGAGATTATGATGTTGTTGATCGTTTAAAATCTCCATAAAAACTGTGTTGCTGGTTTAAAACTGGTGACGACTGCACCAACTGGGTGCAGAGAATGCTGTTGACATGTTCAGGGTATGTAACGTTTTAGAAACTTTTGCTACTATTAAGATAAAATGACGCCTCTATTATATTTTATTTATTTTGGGGGTAAAGCATGTAAACCAATTACAAATCCTATTTTTATTTTACAGAAAAGAAGTGTAAGAATTATCACTAGAAAAGATTATAGGCATCCATCAAATACATTGTTTTATCAGCTGAAGATATTAAAATTCTATGACTTGGTTGATTATAATATTTTACCGTTTATGTATAAGGCTCACAAAAAAACATACTACCTTTAGATATCCAAGTAAATGTTGTTCAAAAGGAAACTGGTTATTATCTAAAGGGGATAGAGCTGTTTGTGAAGCTGTGGTTTCATACCAGTTTGAAGGAGCGGTCTAGTATAATTCAGGGAATAGGATTGTGGAATGGTCTGAAGGACGATGTTAAAACTGCCAGATCTATGTACATATTCAAGAAAATGTTAAAAGTTAGTTTTCTGAAGGAATATGGAAACATATAATGTGTATCTATACAAATTGTTGTTTGAGTTGATGCTTTTATTTACCTTTGTTGTTTTTGTAAATTACTTTTGTTTGAATATATTCTGTGGGAAAAGGGGCAGATATAAGATTTATTATTCTTCTGCTGCCTTTTTTTTATTTTTTAACTGTATTTTTGTTTTCTATTGAATATAGTTATTGTGTTTTTAATGGCATGAATACATTTCTAAATAAATCAAATTTAAGGAAATATTAACTGGGGCAGTAGTTGTATGAAAATGCACATGTGGAAGGAAATGGTTCAAACGAACTTAACTTTTTGGATTCACAAAGTTTGAAATGTTCCTGCGCATGGCTCAGTTACAAATAGGCAGAGGCTAAAAGTTAAGACATTTAAAATATTTGGAATAAAATATATGAAGTTCAGAAACCATCCTACTGAGAGCTCAATGTTGCCCTCTTCTGACAAGCATTTTATATAGTGCAGCAGAAACTGTCAGTATGTGGCTAAAGTAGTTGAGTTTATCTTATTGTCATCAGTCTCAACTTAGAACAGGTTTTATGTAAAATAAAAGTCAGTGCCTGTGGGTTGAATTTGCAAAACACACATAAAAAGTCTGGCACAGATGATAAAATGTTATAGCAACCTGAAAAATCCCAAAACATGCAAGTTGTTTTTGCAAATGGTCCAACATGACAATCTGTAAGATGACCTGAACCCTCAAAAGGTTTCTTTACTGTGGGCGTCCTACAATCCTCAGCTAAATTCAGTACGTGTCAATATAAAATGATCAGCCCATCTTTAAGGTCATTCACACGTGCATGCAGGGTTAATAATTTGACTGAGGTACGTTTTGGTGCGCTGTGCTCTGAAACGAGAAATCCAGATACTGTAGGTTGTGCAAATCAAATAAAGATAAGGTTTGACACAACATAGACCTCCAAAGATTTTCTAAATGCATCGGATGATGATGGTGCAACAGCACGGGATCAACCCACATTTAGCGAACATTTAAACAGCAGTTTGCTCTCATGGCTTTGCACTGCACAGCTTCCTGTCTTCCACCACTGCTCAGGAGCAGCCGTCCATCCGAAACCATGCAGTCCACCGATGGCAAATTCTACCAAAAGAGCCTGATTTTGACTCTGAAACGATACAGCTCAGCAGTCAGCGACATGGAGAGGACCGTTCTCCTGCCGAGCCTGCTGCGGGACGTGCCCTCGGAGTGCGAGGCAACCGAGGAGAGCTGCAGAGATCTGTATTCCAACTTCTTGATGCTCAAGGCCATCCGAAACACGGTGGAGAGCAGCCTGGTGTCCCTGGACGAGCACAAGGCCAAGAACGCGGCGCTCGCACCGGAGACTCTCTTGGACGCTGATCCTGAAGCACTCTTTCGGTTCCACCTGAGAGGACTGTTTTCTGTGATGAGTGATCTCACGAACCAAAGCAAATGCCTCATTGAGAAATACTTGGACATAATTGGAGTGGCAAGACATTAAATTGGCATACAATTTCTGGTGTTTGGAAAACACGTCAGCCGGCTGAACTATTTTCATTCAATGACCCTAAACTTCTGTTGAAAATGGAATAAATGTGCTTTGCCAAAACTGATCACTTGTACCTCATTTTTTGCTAATTACAATAGCTATTCAAATATTGCCATGAAGATTAAGACGTTTTCTAGACTTCTTATGATTTATGAATAAACCCACCCAATTAAAGCTGTTGTCACTAAAGAAAAATTCAGTCAGAAAATGTATATATTTTTTTATTTTTAATTTACATGTGTTTTTACAAACAGGGTTCTCCAGCCATTACAGTTTTCACATCCTCTTTTCCTTTCATTTTCTCCTCTCATCAGCCACTGACACTTAGCGGATGGGACAGAATGGCTCAATGATCTCGGCATAGGTCCTTTTTTCTGGTAGGATAAAAGAAGAAGAATAAAGACTTTATAGTGCATAAAAGCAGACAACTATGTTTCAAGGCCAACATGCTACAGATCTGTGGTCAGAACATGATTTAATACTCAGTAAATAAAAACACAGAATATAAAACATTAAGCATAAAAATGTTTACAATTTTAGGGTAAATTGCATCTTACAGCCTTTGAGCACAATGATAATATACAGTACATATAACAAGCCCATGTGCCAGCTACATACTCCTCTGTTTGAGCACTAACCCCACCCCCCCACACACACAACCAAATACTAAAAAGCTTGACTTACGTTTTTGTGGAAATCTCTCTGGATGGAGTTTCATGTATTCCTCCACGTCTCGATCCATTTTGGCATAAACGTAAGATGCGTACTTTGAAACATGATAGCCGCAAAACCAGCCAATTGTTGCCAAAAGAACTTGTCGATGAACACCTAAAAAATAAATGTGAACAGATTCAACTCAACACATTGGGTACGACACAGAACAAATAAGCTCTTACAAACAAGGTAATTTTGAACGTTTAGTAAGAGCAAAACGTGAGTCAGCTTCATTGTTGAGGGGTGACGACATGCACCACGGTCCCACTGTGACTCGTTACAGAATGATTCTGAATATCCCACTTGAACATAAATATTTCCAAAACTAAAAATCCATCCATTATCTTTTACCCGCTTCTTCCATTGTGGGTCACGGGGGTCGCCGGTGCCCATGTCCGGCAATCATCGTGCGAGGGGCAGGGTACCTAAGCCCATTTTATAACTGTCTATTGTTCTCATTGTTATCCATTGTCGTCATCTTTGTTAAGAAATCAGGTCTCTGTTGTAAATGAGTCCCGAGGCTCAATGGGATTAACCTGTATAAATAAAGGTTGAATTAATATTTTGCTTTACTGTTTTAATTAAAGTCATTACTTTTTAGTATTTGTATTTATTTGTGCTGTTTATTTCCAGAATTCAAATGAATGTGAATATATTTATATATATTTGGTACACTTTTAGTATTTTCTTATAAAGAATGAAGACATGTGGGAGTAATAGTAACAATATACACATACAAACAAAACCAGTAGCAGCCCGTATCACATCTGTTATGTCATTAGAAAACCTAGAACTAAGATCACTGTTCTAAGGCAGAATATTATACGTGAATATATAAATATGCAGTAAATTTCCAATGATGTAGCATTATGCGCCCCCCTCCCCAACACACACACACATTACCCGTTAAATTAACAAAATTACTAACTGCATATTCAACTCATAAACGCATTACACGTATTCAATAAAACCACTGAATTGGTTTACAGTGCATTTAATGTTGATGTCTGATTTTCTCTGGAGAGACAAACAGCTAAATGCTAACCTGATCTCAGCGGCGGCCTCTGATTAAAACCATTATCAAGCATCGCGGTGCACCAACCCAACATGCCCAGATACACCGAATTAACGTTCGCAATTCCCGGAGGAGGGAGAGACTTCCCCTCGTCTGGAATTAACCCCATAGCGATGAGATCAACCTACTATTTGCGCAAATAGCTGTCCGCGATCTATCGGTTAAACTACTACCTTCCGTAGAAAGTCAAGGACGCGGTGTGTAACCGAATGAAACGTCCGGGCGCAACAATTGAAAAACCGTTGCAGTTCCACCTAACTTGTTTCCTAGCAACGAAGGCTAGACAAAAACCCCTAGCTTCCTGCAGAGAGCTAGTACGCGGATAAATCTGTGCTGTCAGGACTTTTTCCTACATCCCGACAGATTAATTGTGCTGCGGTGATTATATGGTATACCAGCGGTAAATAAAGCAAAGGCAATGGTGGTAAACATGACAGAACAAACTGTCTTTTTTTTTTTTTTTTACGTTTGCGGCAGAACAGAAAGGCGCACAATTAAGTCTATGCGTTATTAAATGCGTTGGAGTCAAACTTGGCGAATACGCAAGTGGATGTAAAGCTAATGACATCATTGAATGCATCTCCCTCCTCTTCCTCCCTCCTCCTCCTTTATCAGACGGGCTGCCGCTGCTACTGGGCTGCCGAGGACACGCAGCTCACAGCCGGGGGGATAATGCCCTGCCCAGCAGTGGCTTTGATTTTTTGAGGAGCTGACCTATGCATAACAAGTAGTGTTAGGTCCGGGGATACCCCCGAGTTTTTGGTAAGTGCAAACTATTTCCTGCCTTGATTCGCTGGGTAGACTTTGTTTCCCCCCCTCCTCCTGCATCTGCAGATAGTGCCAAAATGGCTAGGATCGCACGGTAGCTCGTTCTGCTAGTAGCTACTGTTGCTAGCTGCGCCTTAGTAAGATAAATGATTATTGACAAGAAGTGTATCCTCTAAGTTAAGAGTAAACAAGAGCTGGGGCCTTTAGTTTAGACTTTTCCCGTATCGATGTCTGAAGGGAGGAGAGATGAACGCGGCTCGACGTTTTTTCTATTTGCATGGTTTCATCTGGTTGAAATGTCATGGATCTGAGTCTTCTTGCAAGCAACAGCTGCTACACATGGGGCAAACTATTTTATGCAGTCATCATAACGGTCTTACTAACATGTTGCATTTTTAAAATGTTTTCCCCAAATGATTGTGAGTTCATTCCATGTATTTTTGAATTGCATACAATTTCTGTTAAGTTGTGAAACACTTCCCCCCCCCCACCCCCTCAATATTTAAAGTTAAAGCTCTTTGTGTAGTATGAGTCAAATCGCACAGTATTGCAAGCTCGTTACTGACCTTGTTAGCATTAGAAATGAGAATACAGCAGTGCTGTTACAAGAATTTTGTTAAACTGAGACCGTCCATCCATCCATTTTTTCATTTATGATTGGGTTGAAGGGGCATTAGACTCAGGAGGTAAACCTCCTGCACCCCTCTCCTCACTGACACTCTCCAGCTCCTCCTGGGGGATCCCAAGGCAAACCCAGGCCAAAGAGAATATTCCTCTATTTGCCCAAGGGTCTCCTCCCAGTGTCCGGAAAACTTCTTCCAAAGGGAGTTACCAAGGAGACTTTCTAATCAGATGCCATAACACCTCTCCTTCCAGTGCAGAGAAGCAGTGGATTCACTCTTGAGCTCGCCCCCCTCCCCAGATGACAAAGAATATTTCTAGGGTGTGGCCACCCTACAGAATAATCTCATATTTGCTTGTATTCAACGTCCTGTTCTTTTAGTCATAATCCATACTTCAAGACTATAAAGTGAGGGTTGAAACATAGACGGACCAGTAAGTTGAGCGCTTTGCCTTTTGACGCTGCTCTTTCTTCACCACAACAGACCGGAGCAATGCCCTCATTACTAAAGATGAGGCACTCTTCCATCGGTCCATCTCTTTATTCATCATGATGTTACTCATGAGCAAAGCGCCCAGGTACTTGAACTGCTGTGCGTGAAACTGCCCCAGTGCATGCTGCAGCTCGTGGCCTGTAGACACCAATAGAACCATGTCATATGCAGAAAGTAGAGACCAGACCCCGAAGTTCCCAAACCAGACACGCTCCTCTCAAGAACTGCATGTTGAGATCCTGTCTATGAGCACCACAAACAGGGTTGGAGATGAGGGACAGCTTTGGAGAAGTTCAACCTGTACCTGGAACGAGCTCAGCTGTTCAGAGGTCGTACAGAAACTGAGACCTGAGAAACTTCAACATCATAACAATCTTTTTACCCTTTTTTTTTAACATTCCAGTAGAAAAAAAATAACTCGAGATTAACTTCACGCTAAAGATCCAAAGCAAGTTATATATTCTTCATGGTTCTAAAAATTGGTAGAAGTTGATTTAGGTGAAATGCCACGTGCGATTGAAGTCCTGAGGATGCTGCCTTGTGTGCCATTTTCACAACAGCTGTGAAACGACCATCTCTTCATTTTAACAAGTATTTAAATGTTTTTTCTTCACAGATGAGAATGAGCATGGAAGATTATGACTACCTGTTTAAAATAGTTCTCATAGGAAATGCTGGAGTCGGGAAAACATGTCTCGTCCGGCGTTTTACTCAGGTTTGCATTTTACTTTGTTGTTGTAGTTCTCAAATACCCAAATGTGAGCATTCAATTTATATATTGATTGTAAATTTTAGGGCCTTTTCCCACCTGGACAAGGGGCTACTATTGGAGTAGATTTCATGATTAAAACTGTGGAAATCAAAGGGGAGAAGGTCAAAGTACGTCGGAATTGATTACAGTGATGTTGGAAAGTGTGTGGCCTGCAATAATTTGTACTCATGTTGTTTACTGCCTTTTCCAGTTACAGATATGGGATACAGCTGGACAGGAGCGATTTCGCTCCATTACTCAGAGTTATTACCGCAGTGCCAACGCCCTTATTCTCACATACGACATTACCTGTGAGGACTCCTTCAGGTGCCTTCCAGAGTGGCTGAGGGAGATTGAGCAGTATGCTAACAACCAAGTGGTGACTATATTAGTCGGTAAGAAAATTCCTACTTTTTAATGAATAGCCTTTTTTTTTGTTTGTGACACGCCTCATTGTTGAACAGATTTATCAAACATCAAATTATTGTCTTGCTTTGTGATTTCTTTGAAATGTTTGCTCCTTCTTTCACAAAGTCTTTGCTGAAGTCCACAAACAGGCACACGTACACCTCCATTCCCATCTGTTCCATTTCAAACACGGCACTGTCCAGTCAGACTGCTGCTTCCAATTTATTGTAATAAGAAACCAATCTTTAGTTGTTTTGTTTGTTGGAGACTGCCTGAAGTCAGTCACCCTATTATTATTATCCACCTGAAAAGGGTCTTGCTCTTCCATCAACTTGTAATGCGGCCCGAACCGCAATGTCTACCCCCACAAATTTTATATCGGAACGACTGGCCCGGCACCGTGATGTGTGCTTTTACTTTTATTGGAATTTCAATTTACCCTGGAGAGGTAATTTTCAAACAAAGACACAATTTTTCTCATTGAAAAACACCAACTCTTAACAGCTTCTAACTGCCGCAGTGACGTCACATGACCTAGAGGGCAGAGGTCGCTGAACAAAACTCTGTCATCGAACAAACCCTTCCAACACTTCTTTTAAGATACACATACAGTATTCCCTCGATTTTATCGCGGGGGTTACCTTCCAGACACCCCGCGATAGGTGAAAAACTGCGAAGTAGGAACGTTATATTTATTTTAGTATTTATATGTCTATTGTTGTCTGTGTTCTTTGTTTAAAACAGGTCTTTCTTGAAAATGAGTCCTCAAGGATCAATGAGACTAACTTGTATAAATAAAGGTTGAATGATTATATATTTTAAGGCTTTATAAACCCTTCCCACATTCTTGCAATGTTCTAAACTCTTAAACCTACGCAATTTTAACATATGTATATATGTACTGTACAGTACTGCAAAATTGTATATGGGTACTCAGCAGCTCTGCAGACCAGCAGCTCAGTTCTGGTTTGGCAGACCTATCCTGTAGCATGACGGAGCCCACCGCCTCGTCCACATTGATGTGCACGTGCTGCCTCTCCAGGAAGGACACTCCTCACGCGAGACTGTCCAGGAAGTAGTCCACCACCTCAGCCCGGGTCCAGACCAGCACCGCGGTGACCAGAACTAGGCCGAACCCCACCGCCATCTGCATGATTCCTGCCCCCCCTAGGATCAACTTGAAGGAGTTCAGCTTCAGGATTTTGCGACTTTCCTGCCAGTTCTGTGAGCTGAATAGATCGATCGTTACTTCTGGCTGTGTGTTGCAAAACGTTCCCTCCATTGTTGCCACTTTAGCAGAAAGCAGTGTTCGGGAGCACTGTTGGCTTCTGGGCCATGTAGTTGTTTTGACTTGTGTTACAGTGTAGACTTATTGAAAGAAAACTACAAAATTGTGACACCTGTCCAAAGTATTTTTTGTTTGGGTTTTTTGTCTTATTGATTGGTTCCTGCTCCTGTCCGCGAGTAATACTGAAGTTGACAATCGTGTGTCGTGTACAATCTTGCGTTGGAAAAACAGAGAAAAGGCGAGTCCGCCAAAGTCGAACCGGAAAGTAACCCTTGCTACTCCGTGGTTCGTTTTTCGCGGACTCGCTCCATCGCAGTTTTTCAAGGTAAGACTGCACATGACCCACAATTGGCTGATTGATGGATGAGCTGCACAATCGGCATGGAATTTTTATTTAAAATAAATTATTTTAAATGATTTAGCAACTCTCTGCAGCCCACACCGCAGGATAAGCTTCTTCCTGTAGCTGATCAGCTGATCTCTGTGCAGAGAGGAGAAATGGGCGTGGCTGAGCGCTTGCAGGTGGCAGGGAGCTGAAATCATGACATTCTGTGCTCTTTTAGAGCGTTTAGAAACATTGTTTAGAATATTGCAAGAGTGGGGTAAGGGAAAATGCTTATCTATCTATATCTATATATATAGATATAGATAGATAGATTGATATATATATATATATATATATATATATATATATATATATATATATAAAAACTTAGGCATCTTTGTCATCTAAATTTTAAAGTGGTCGCAACGTACCCTTCAAAGTTTCTCCAGGATCTTTCTAGTTTACTAAAACATTTGACATGTTTTGGTTTGTGTATTTCAGGAAATAAAATCGATCTGGCAGACAAGAGGGAGGTTCTCAGGCAGAGGGCTCAAGACTTCGCTCAGGCTCAGAGCATGCTGTATCTGGAGACGTCGGCCAAAGAGTCTGACAACGTCGAGAAACTTTTCCTCGACCTGGCGTGCGAACTCATCCGTGAGGCCAAACAGAATAAGCTTGATAACAATGACACTGCCCCGATGCCCGGCGAGGGTAAAACCATCAGCTATTTGAACTGCTGCAGTCTGAATTAGAGGAAGCTCAGCTGCCTGGTCATGGTAACACAGTAGCCATTGACTGTAGAACCTGGGTGGCTGAGCCCCAATGCCTCCATCCTATTAAGATGGCATAAAGCCGCCACTTAGTTTGGTAATTCTCAGTCTCATGCCTCTTTTAGGCTGTACAAGGAAGCTAGTCAATTTTAGTTTTTTTAAAATTTACTATCATTGAGACAACTCTTCACTGGAATAGGAAGTATTTGTCTGATACTTTCTGGAATCTTAACTAGGGCTTCATTTTATCTCCATAAATGGTGAAATGGCAGGATATCTTCGTTTGGGCTTTAGGATCCATTTTTCATCAAACATCAATATTCACCAGCAGTATTATGAGAGCAAAAAGCTCTGCCAGGTATTTTGTTACAAGGCTCTCCAAGTTGGCATGTTTCAGGATATTTGGAGGTTATCAGTTATGTTTACAAAAACATTTTTATTTTTAATTTGCAAAGCTTAATCAAGTTGCAAAAACAAAAAAAGCCTTGAAAATGTACCCGTCATTCTGTTTCTATGGAGCTTGTTCTGTTCAGAGAATCACTCAGTGTTTTTAGCTTCGTCATTTTTGGATCAGTTTTGCACCGCTCATTTCATACTGTGAAACAGTTTTTTTCCTAATGAAGTTTTTCACTTGCTGCTAGAATATGTTTTTAAGCCAACTAATATGAACTGAAACACGTTAAGATACTACAGTATAGTATGACGCATCTATTTTAATTTTTTAGTGTTTTGACAGTGCTTGTGATAGTTGAATTAATTTGAAGCAGTTGGAATTTTATCAAAAGAACCTGTATGTAGTTTATTCAACTAAAATATTTTTTGATTGTCAGCTGTTTGTTTTTGTCATCTGTAGACATGATTACTCTTGTATTTGTTGCTGCTGCCTAGTCATGAACATTGAATGGCTTTGTCCATGTATTTCAATATAATTTTTTGTATTTGCTATGCTTTTCTTTGGTAATTTTCCTTAATTGTTCAGCATGGTAGTGTCTAATATTATTTTTCATTTATTTGCCATAACTGCAGTCTGCTGTATTGCACAATGCTATATACTGCACACCTGTTTATTATTTCTTTATTGTAACATTTAATCTTTTGTTGTACAGATGTAGTACATATTTGCACTCTTTTTTTTAATATTGTACTATCAGTATTTTTATTTTTTGTTAAAATGGTGAGCATTCTGTTTTGCCTTGTAACATAGATTTAATTGTGGTTACTCATCCTTGCATCTTCCTGTCAACTCAAAGTGGGAAAAAATGATGAAAATGTTGCCGGTATGTTGTGCTTTTTTCCATTTTGTGTACAAAATAATCCTGAACAAACTGTATAACATTAAACAACTCCACTAATTATTGTGTATTACCCTGTCTTATTAGAGGTTGGGTCTGATTTCAGTAAACTGTTGAGGTATAGAACAAAAGTAATTTTTATAAGTTTTGCTTCAAAGGAGCCAGACTATTAAAATAATAATAATAAAAAAAATAGGTATAAAGCTTAGTTATTCAGTTTTTCTTGAATATTAAAGCTTTGACTAGCCAATCCTAAATGTTCTTTGGAATACATACAGTATGTATAGTATGTTATAGGCATTAATATTTAAAACAAAGTATTTGTGCATTTTAAAGGGGTAGTCAGAATGTTGCTTACTTCTTGTAACTTCTAAAACCTAAATATAATTTAGTTTCTAGTTTTGATCATAATTCACAGTGTTATCACCCAACCTTTGCACGTTTAACATTTATGGAAATCTTATTTTGAAGGCCCTACCGGAAGTACATATCACATCACGTGACGTTTTCACCGCCACTTAAACTTGCTAGTCTTACGTGTTCCACATCTTTATTGTTTACACAACTACAGCAAAAGTAAGACGAAAGGAAGTGTTTTCTTCGAGCGTAGATAGACCATATTTTTAAATCTAAATTTAAGAACTTTGTGGTTTCCGGTATGTCAAGCGCTTATGTTTTTATTTACTTCCGGTATTTGCCGCGTTGCACTAATTTCAATCATTATTCATTCAGTTCATTTTTCAGTAGTTTATTATTTCCTCTAGTATTTTAGTAAACGTTATTCAATGTTTTATTTTATTATTAGTGGACTAATTGTCTCTGTTTTTTTCTTGAGACCACTTCGAGAGTTTTATGTGGCCTAATAGCGCCCCGAAGAGGATTTTTTTTTTTTTTTTCAAAGACGCGGCTTCACCGTGGTAACTTAAAACTCAAACTCCCATCAAGCATTGCGAGTCTTTTACTGTACGAGCCATCTGCTTTGTGTGTACATCCCCGGATATCTGTGTCTATAGTTTATCAAAGTAATTAAAATGTTGGGAAGACGTTTAACTTGAAGTCTGGTGATCATCAAGGACCACCGTTAGCTCGCATTTAGCTCTCGTGCTAAATTTAGCTTACAAGCTGAATGGCAACACCTCTCTTAAATCTGCTGACAGGAGGAATCTCACTTCCTTTTTGCTCCTCGGGATAAGTAATGCAAACACAGCTCTGATCATGCACTCGCGTTAACAGTAAGCTGAAGATTAAGAGACTCCCTGTGATTTACAGTAGCTGGATCATGGCTGACATGAAGAAGACGCGGTGTTTGGGCAGAGTTGCAGCTGCCTGCATGTTCATCTTGACTTTTGCTTGTTTGCACGTGACTTGCCTAAAGCCGCAACTTTTCACCAGACTGGGAGAGCTGCGTTACTCCACGGAGCCACCTATAAGCTATAAAACATTGTACTTTGACCAAAAGGTGAGTTAGACATTTTTCTTTTCAACTGTGCTTATTTTTTTTTAACATGTATACAATTTATACTGTATGTGTTGCTGCTTGTTTCCTCTTTTACTTATTTCTCTTTCATTTCTCCAGTACTTTCATTTGCACTTTTTGAAAACTATTCAATGCAAAAGAAACCTTATTACACTTGAAAAATAGTGCATATACAGTATATCAAAATATAATGCAACTAGACTACTTTTTTGCACAGTATGTATGTATGTGTATGTATGTCATTTACTATGTTTTATTGTTTGCTTGATACAAATAACAGCACCACTTGCTCTTTCTAAACCTCCATTTGCACTTAACTCTATAGCAGTTCATGTGTTGTGTCTGCAGACAATACTTGTTTCCATCTGGCTTCCTGTAGTGAAGGGAGCTCTGTTCCTGCCAGCACAACAGTAACCATCCTTCCTGGCTCTGAGCCTAAAGAGGTCTCCGGGGCCCAGTGAAAATGAAACGCGTTACCTCACGGGCGGTTTGAAAGATCTTCATTCAGCCTTCACATTTCCTCTTACTTTGTGGAGATTCAGATTGCTATGATGAGTGGCGTGTGTTGGTACATGGCACTGCTGCTGTAGTCTAAACAAGAAACCGGTGGCTACAAGATTAATGTAAACATACAACCCCCCCCCCCCTCCCCGTCCCATCTTATATGCACCTACGCCCATACAACCATACACAATGCAGATGCTATTTAGTGCTTTTATCTTTTTTTTTTTATTTGAGTAGCACTATGAGATATTCTTTTTTCTTCTAGGATTACAAAAACACTATTTAAAAGTACATTTTCTATTAGTAGAAGCACAAAATGTTAGTGTTATAAGAGTTTTAATTTTGCGGCAGCTGTGGCTGAGTGGTTAGAGCAGTCGCCCTCCAATGGGAGAGTTGGGGGTTCGATTCCACCAGCAATCACATGCTGAAGTGTCCCTAGGCAAGACACTGAACCCGTCATTGCCTCTGATGTGTGTCCCATCGGTGAATGAATGTGATCTAAAGCTCTGATGAGTGGGGAATACCATACCACTTTTTTTTATAAAGCACATAAAAACAGCAGCAAGGCCAATCAAAATACTGTACTGTACAAACAAGAGGACACATAATAAAATACATAAATCAACAGAGGTTTTAAAAAAAGAAGAAAATAAACTATAAAAATGACTAAGTTAATAAAAACAAAACAAGGTTGAAATCAACTCAGACTGGGTCAAAGACCATGGGGGAAAAAAGTTTTTTTTTTTTTAAATGAATAAATAAAAATTTTAAATCGCTAGGAGAGGCAGCCCAACGTGCAGTGACAAATCATTGCACAGTTTTGAACCTGCAACAGAGAAGGCTTTTTCACCTTGTGTGCATGGAACCATTAAAAGCATGTGATCATATTAATAACTTTAAAAAAAAGGGGGGGGGGGGGTGTTTTCCTTTTGTATGTTAGATTTTTTTTTTTTATTAAGGATCAGATAAAGTAAGATTTATCATATCACTTTATATTATTTAGTAAAAATTGTAGCTGATGCTTGATTGAGCGAACAGCTTGTGAAATGGAGAAATTAATTGACACCGTGGCACAAAGATGGAGATAGTATTGTTTGTGCTGACAATGCTCCACATCTGTTCCAACCCACAGCATCCTGTCTAATCAACCAAGCTGACAAGAAGACCAAGATCGTTTCCTTTCCTCCTACACCCCTCGGTCTTGTCTCATGTGGATTTCTTGTTATCTAATCATTGATAAATGCTGCACTTCTTCATGAGAAGTACTGCTAATTAAATCCCTGTTATCCTCCTTTTCAATACCAGCGGCAGATTGGCCACTATCTATAAGCACTTACTAATCGTGCAGCCTTTTCTACACTTTGTCGTACAAACGGGTGTGAGGGGAGCGCCAAGTAATTCAGTTGTCCTCAGGAAATCCTCTCCAATGCAATCTGCCTCCAGACAATGAATGGAAGTGTCCTTTAGCATCCTTCAAATTAACTGCTGTAGTCCTCTGGAGCTGGTGCTTCAGTTGTTTACTTTAAAATGTCCTTTTAGCTGGAAAACAAATGCAGCCTCTTGTGCTGTGGAATAGTTAACACACAGGTCAGGTGGTTGGTTGTGCAGCGTTTGGGCTGAATTTAAATTAAATTGAAGGCAAATCCCGAGGAGCTGCCTGCTGCAGCCACATGGTGGCACTACGAGTCAGGGTCTGGGGATGTTATAAAACCAGATTCAAAAGGTGTGTGTGTGATATGCATACTGAGTGAATAGTCAGTCACATGCTTTTTTGCCAAAACTTCATGTTTTAAGTGTTTTCCTTTAGATCCTAGTTTTATTATTGCACTCCAATGAAGGCGAAGACGGTGAGAATTAGTTTCCCCTTTGTGTTTACTTGTTTACACTGTTAGCAAAATATCTCATGAACCCCAGGATAGATTTGAATGAAAGACTAATCATGTTTAGCATCTACAACTGATTCACTTTCGCAGTCAATCCCATTCAAGTTGGCTACCACGGCCAAGAGGTCTTAGTAAACACACAAAATGGCTTTAACTTAGTTTTGCAGCTATTCAGATAAATTGTGCATGGTAGTAGCTGATAGTTACCATGAAGTTAGAGAGGACATGGAGGTAGTTGGAGTGAGGACAGGATGCAGAGGACAGCGTGAGATGGAGGAGGATGACTCGCTGTGGCGACCCCTGGAGATGGAAAAGCCAGAAGAAGTAGCTGATAGTTACTCCCATGTTATTCTCTGAGCACATCTTGCACAATATTATTGCATGAGATATCACATTTATTAGGTGGACCAAGACAGCTATAACTTCATCCCTTCTTGTTATAAGATGATTGTCTTTTACGTCAAGAGTTTTAAACTGAAGAGGGCGATATTCATTGTTTGAAAGAAAGCTAGGCCTTTAATTGAAACATTTCTTGTGCTGGAATGGTTTGTTTTAAAATCATACATAAGTGAATTCCCCTCCATCCATCCATTATCTTTACCCGTTTGTTCCATTTTGGGTCATGGGGGTCGCTGGTGCCCATGTCCAGCAATCACTGTGCGAGGGGCGGGGTACACCCTGGACGGGTCGCAAGTCCATCGCAGGGCCACACAGAGACAAACAACCATTCACTCTCTCACTCACAACTAGGGACAATTTAGAATTACCAATCAGCCTAACATGCATGTTTTTGGTCTGTGGGAGGAAACCGGAGTACTCGGAGAAAACCCACGCATGCACGGAGAGAACATGCAAACTCCACCCAGAAAGGCCCCTGGACCGGGGTTTGAACCAGGGACCTGCTCGCTGAGAGGCAGCAGCTCTACCAGTTGCGCCACCGTGCTGCCCTGAATTCCCCTCATTAAGGTTTATTCTTTGATAAACCTAAAAAAAAAAATCACAACATTAAAGTAAACGTTTTTTTAGTTTTTAAAGAAAGTGACAAAACCAGCTGTTCAGAACATTCTGCTAAACTTTAGCTAGCCAGTGAAAAGTGCCCTGGTGCCAAACTGCTCAATGCTTCCTTTAAACTGTCTCATGGTCCCCTCAGCCTCACAAAAACACTGCCAAGAGTGAAGGAGTCAAGGCTTGAATGAATACATTGAGGCCCCAGAATCTTTTTGCTGTCACTGGCTCAAAAAAAAAAAAAAGAAGCTGCCTCCTTTGTGTCCTCTGAGGAGGGAAGAGAGCGACGATGGGGGTAAAAACAAAACAGAAACATTTTGTGTTGAGTGTTGGGGTTGTTTCAAGGGGTGGACAACTCTGAAGTCTCATGGGGTTGTCTTCTCAGTGAAGCTGCTGTTCTTCCTCGTGCTTTTGTTCAATGGAGAACACAAGAAATATGCCTGAGAGGGGAAGATACTCCAGAATCCCCGAGGTTTTATGAAAGGCTATTCCAGAGCTCATCTAAAGTGGAACTAATGTGGCATTCCTTAAAAAAAAGCTCCAGCATTTTTCTAAACAAATTGGGGCTAATTACTTCAGGATCCACAGTCAGTACTGTGGCTTGAAACTTTTCAGGTGCATTTTCTAAGACCTTGTGTTGCTCAGTTTTAAAACTGATTAGATTTTCTTTTATTTGTTTTGACCACCTATTCCACACCATGTCATAAAGTTAATTACTGGTCTGTTTTTCTTTGTTGCAGATTGATCATTTTGGATTCCTCCAAGACGCCACCTTCAAACAGAGATACCTTGTAGCTGACAAACACTGGCATCAGCCCGATGGACCCATTTTGTTCTACACCGGCAATGAAGGCGACATCACCTGGTTCTGCAACAACACTGTAAATATCCAGCTGTTCCCCTGAATTACACATATCCTCCAGCCCAGTGCAACAACCTACTACTGTTTTCTCTTCAGGGCTTCATGTGGGAGGTTGCAGAGCCGTTGGGTGCCATGCTGGTTTTTGCTGAACATCGCTACTATGGAGAGTCTTTGCCATTTGGGAAAGACTCTTACAGCGTAAGTGAATTCTCATTAGAATTAGAATCAGGCTTTCTAGTTTATATATCTAAAAGTTTACTCAATAGCTGAGCATAATTATCAGTCTAAATAACTTTAGCACCCAGGGTTAAAAGTATCTTTTGGGTGCCACATACTTTAGAAACACTTCCCACTCTTTCATTGCAGGACAGTAAACACCTGAACTACCTGACTTCAGAGCAGGCTCTTGCAGATTTTGCAGTTTTGATCCAAAGCCTGAAAAGTACATTACCCAAGGCTCAGAACAGTCCTGTCATCACCATTGGAGGTTCCTATGGAGGGATGCTCTCTGCCTGGTTCAGGATGAAATACCCCAATGTAGTCATTGGGTAAGATACTCATTTGCACATTTGTCTTTTTTTTTTTTTACAGCTCAAATAATGTTAAGTCCTAGATATGATTTCTTTGGTTTTCTGTAGTAGGATAATGGATGTTATGTTTTGAATAAAAAAAAAAAAATAGAACCAGCTCTTCTCCTTTTTTGCATTTCAGAGCTTTGGCATCTTCTGCACCAATATGGCAGTTTCCTGGTATGGTGCCCTGCGGAGATTTCTACAAAATAGTAACTCAAGATTTTGCCAAAAGTGGCTATAACTGTGATGCAAACGTCAGACGATCATGGAAGGCTATTAATAATGTCTCCTCCACTGGTAAGTCGTCAAGGGCTGATTTATGTGTAGGAAATGTGTTTGGTCATTGAAATGGAAGCAATATGTTCAATTATTTTGTTTTACACTAGCAATTTAAGTTAATATGCAGTTATTTTCACTTGGCTTATTGCACTGTGATGATCTACTGAGAATAATATATTTGAGGTGGATGAGTCCGGGGCTTAATTTGTAAACCGATCAATGCCTGAAAGCAAATAGTGGGTGGGCCGGTTGGGGGGTGGGGTTTAGGGCTCCTTCCCTATACTTTTTTTAATAAAGTAGATGTGGTTTCCTGCATTTTGGTGTATTTTAGCGGGTTGGTAAACATCTATGCTTACCTACATTTGTAAACGCATCCTACCCCCCCCCCCCCC